GTCAAAGGCTTACTGAGCCTCCGCCGCTCTCAGTTTAAAATAGTCTAAGTTAAATGGGTTTTCTTTTTTATTTATCTTACTACTATTCTAGTATGTTTATAAAACTAGTTTTCAGAACTTTAACAGAATATTCAAAAGACCTTTTAAATAAGTAAATTAACCTCCAACCCAACCCCCGGTTAAGACTCCCACCGGTAATTTATTCCACAAAATTTCTGTTCTGAAACTTCGAAGAGTGATATTAAAGACGACGTAAAATATAAGGATGGAAGAGCGTTAGGATTAAGATGAATTTTGGAATATTATGTTATATAATAAAAAAATAAAATGAAAATATTAAATAGAATTATTAGGAATAAGGAGAAAAGCACGCACTGTTACAAGAATATATTTACAACTGATGGTTTTAAAAATAAAGAAAAAACATATAAAGTTCTAAATTCAAAAATATAACAATTATGAATAAAAATATGTAAAAAGTTCCGTATCTGTCGGCAACAGTCATCTTAGGTTAAAATATTCTTGCTAAATATCTATTACTCAAAAATAGATCAAAAGCTTCGTAAGTTTGAGTTCTGCAGAACAATTAGAGGAGTCCCAGCTTCGGTTCCCGGTAGGTCTAAATCATCTGCAAGATGGCGCGGCCGAGATTGATTTATGTGTGTCTTTAGTACGCTACATTCGTACTAATGAGCCAAGGAATTATTACACTAGCTGTCGCCCTTGGCTACGTCCGCGCGGAATTATAAAAAGATTTCAGTCTATGTGTTCTTGCAGTTCTATTTCAATGCCAAATTTCAGCGAGATGCATGCAGGCGCTCTGGAGGTACCTTGTATCAAACATCCATCCATCCAAACATACGCATTTATAATATATAACAGATATACGAGCCCGCTTTAACATCTTCGCACGAATTGTCCCGGCTCGCCCGGTGAAATACCACGACCACACAGAAGACAGGTGTGAAGTGGAAGCAATTCCGCGTTTCGTCTGATGAGTGTGCGTCCCGGAGACCTAATTTAGTCTTCTTTCCCTTTCCGCCCTTTTCCTTATAAGGAAAGGATGGGAAATGGAAGTGGACTTTCCGGATGAGAGGATGCATGGGAAGGGAAAATATTTTTTTTTCTGTGCATCCTCTCCTCCGTCGATTAAAGGTAGGCAACGCATATGCAATTGCGTATGTCTATGGGCAACGGTCACTTCGCTATTTCAGCGATTTCAGGTGGCCGCTCGCTCGTTCCTTATTATTATGCCTTTAATCGACGGAGGAGAGGATGCACATAACGAAAACATATTTTCCCTTTCCATGCATCCTCTCATCAGGAAAGTCAACTTCCGCTTCCCATCCTTTCCTTATAAGAAAAAGGGTGGGAAGGAAAAGAGGACTAAATTAGGCCTGTGGGATGCACACTCATCAGACGAAACGCGGAATAGCTTCCACTTGAGGCGTGTCTTCTGTGTGGTCGTGGTATTTCATCGGGCGAGCCGGGCTAATTCGTGCGAAGATGTTAAAGCGGGCTCTACCACGTTTTAGTAAGGCTAGTGCTGCGCCAGTACACCGGCACAGTGTCGGATTTTCTTCCTAACAGTATTATTGCAGATTAATGTACCTATGTATTGCAATTAACACTTACATGTACACACAAGTACGAGGAAACTAATTAGCAACGGCTCTGAATACTGGAAACGCCTGGGAACATTCCTAGACACTTCGCCCGACCTACACGTACGCTTTTTTGCATTCGCTGCAAGCGTATGTTACCTACAAATCGTGAAAAGGGTCAGAATGGAGTTAGTCGTATAAGTTTGCAGCAATTTTTAATTGTGATCTGTTATAATTAAAGACGATTTTAAATCTTACTAATATTACTAAATGCGCATGTTTGGATGGATGCGTGGAGCATAGATTTCGTTGAAATTTGACATAGTTGTAGAACATCGCTTGGATAAAACATATTTAAGTTCTTTTAATTCCGCGCGGATGGAGTCGCCGGCAACAGCTAGTTTTATATAAAAGGAAGTCAGACATTTTTCTATTATAATCTTTTCGATATTAGTAAGATATTTAAGTTACTTACAAATCGAAATAATTATTTTCTACTTAAATTTGAAGTTTAACTTAGTTAACAAAAAAAAATTAAAAATTCGATTTCACAATCCACACTATTGCAAGTAAGTTTAGAAAAATTCATATTCCACATTGTGACGGTAACATGCATACCATAAGCGATTCCTTGTAACAAACAAATGGTCCCAGATAAAGCTGGAAAAAATGGCAAAGGAACATAATTAGTGCAACCCGACGCAATTATCTGTCGTAAAACAGCGCGAAAACTGAACATTGCTTAAATTAAGAGTGAAAGGTCTTCGTAGTTTTTTCTAAGAATAGCTTATGATTTATACAACACCACTAACACTTTGGTAATAACACTATTCATTAAATAACCAAATAAAACTATCGGAGAAAAAAATAAAATTAGTATAAGGAGGAGGTGTTCCTTCGTCAAAATCGGTTCAGGATATCAATGTTACAATGGCCATTTACTTACATAGAACTAGGTGTCGACCGTGACTCTATCTGCGCTGGATTAAAAAATATATAGTTGCCGATTCTAAGAGCTACTGACTATGCATGTATAATAACTGATATCGTGATACGAGAATTTTATATCTTATATATAAAATTCTCGTGTCACAATTTTCGTTTCCATACTCATCCGAAACGACTTGACCGATTCTCATGAAATTTTGTGAGCATATTGAGTAGGTCTGAGATCAGCCAGCATCTATTTTTAAACCCGCGCGGACGGAGTCGCGGGCGACAGCTAGTATATCTATGTTATTAAAATTGGAGTGTCTGTATGTAATATCAAAAAACATGATCATATTTCGTAGTCATGATGTATTTATTCTTAGAAAGAAAATCCTACACTGTGCCGGTGTACTGGCGCAGCGCCTTAATAAAATGTAGACGTTTATGACCCCTCAGTAATCATTCTGACACTGGACCTTGTAATGAAAGCACGTCATTCGCGCCAGAGGATTGTAATTAATAATTTCTAAAACTATGCAGCTGATACGAAGAATTTTTCTTTTAATTTAGTCTGTTTATCTGTCCGCAAGGCCATGTTTTAATATAAATGCGAATGTTTGGATGGATGGATGTCTGTTTGAAGATATCTACAAAACGGATGAACATATCATGCTGATATTGGTCATAGATGTAGAACATAGTCTGGAAGAGCACATAGGCTACTAATTAAGTTTTAATACCGCGTACGAAGTCGCGGGCGACAGGTAGTATTGTCAATAAAAAATAAAAAGACCACATTTAACCATAGATATAATTTATTTTGTATATACAATTAAAACTAGCGCAGTCAAAAATAACTATCAAATAAAACTTTAAAATATTTACAAAAAAATAATTACAAATGGAAGAAGATAATGACTAAAAAAAAAAGAAATTTCTAGAAGAAACAATGTATTACAGTACCTTGGATTTAAGTTGGCACGCCAAAAACATGTCTCCACTTGCGTATTACGTGCCAACTTAAACGTAAGGCTCACTCACATAAATATGACTTTAATAAGATTTAGTATAATATAATTTATTCTTTTTAACTACAAGGAGTTAGTGAAAATATTTACTTTGTTTTTAACTCACTTTTACGTCTTATAACAATGAAATAAGCAGAACAGCCTCAGAAGTTAAAAAATATGATGTCAAAATATCTCATTTCGTTTAAAATGTTTTAATGTTACATTATTAAGGTTATATAAAAGTAAATAATTAAAAAGTCGTTTGTATTATATATTTTTTAACGAAACAATATTAAATATTTACAAAATTATTACAAACTATGAATGTATTTAATATTTATTTTAAACACATCTAACATAACTACTTGGTTACTATATCGCATCTTTTTTGGGATAACGTGAGAGTGCAGATAAATTTAAAATCATTTTTTGGACAATTCATCATTAAATTATTATTCAATTCCGATATTGTGATAAATCATTGGATTTCTAAGACTAAAATCTCTGTTAAAGACATATCTCTGTTTTGAAAAAGATGACGATGTTTCCACATATTTTGGCCTCAGAAACCCACGATTATAAACTTTTATATTCAAACCTACCGTTGAATTATGTCAAATAAAAATGTATTAAAAACATAGAATTGTCACATGTTTTTATACATGTTAATTAACAATGGAAATAGATAAAGGTACGCAGAGTTAATATACCTATAGTTTTTTTAACTCTTATCGTAGCCTTCTTCACTTTGGGTAAGCTTTAAAAATAACAATATGCTAAATAAATATAATTATTTACAACGAGGAACATTTGTAATAACGTGGCAAGGGATAGCTATATTGTATGGAGAAATACATTTAAAAGAGATCAATTGTATATCTAAGACCGATTCATCATCATCATCAGCTCACTATACGTCCTCACTGAAGTGCTCGGAGCCTAAGTTAAGGGTGATTAGGCCATAGTCAACCACGCCGGCCAAGTGCGGTTTGGTTGAGTTCACACATATCTTTGAATTTCTTATCAGATATATGCAGGTTGCATCACGATGTTTTCCTTCGCCGTAAGAACGTCGGATAAATATACATATGTAAATCGGAAATCGAAAAACACATTGGTACATGGCGGAATTCGAACCCAGGACCTGCAGATTGCAAGTCAAGTGCTTGACCACTGAGCCACCAACGCTCTAAGACCTATTAATGTAACATAATGTTTTCCCATCTCTTAAAATATATATTTTTATTTATTAAGGTATATGCTTTTTTACAATACTAAAGTGCAATATTTGTTAACAATTTCAGATAAAAATCGGTCATCAATATCTTACACGTTCACCATCATCAGCTCACTATACCCATTGAGGGTCTGGAAGTCTACCCTAAGTGGTGGCTAGGCCATAGTCAACGCTAGTCCAGTACGGGTTGACTTCACATATATCTTTAATTTTCTTCGCAAATATATGCAGCATCACGATGTTTTCCTTCACCGTAAGAACTTCGGATAAGTACATATGTAAATCGAAAAACACAATGGTACATATCGGGATTCAAACTCAAGACCTATGCTTTAACCAATGAGCCACTGTTACACTTTTACTGGTACATAAATATACATAAATTTTTATTTTACGTGACACTAATTTCTTCCTCATCTTCATCACTTTCAGTGGCCGTGCTATGATTGTAGAGTCCTTGAGCCATGAGCTGCAGCGCGAGCGGGTTCCTCTGACCTGTGGCTTTCTTGATCTTGGCTCGTTTGTTCTGGAACCAGATCTTGATCTGAGCCTCGGCTAGGCCCAGCTCTGCAGCCAGCGCCTGTCGCCGACGTTCCGTGAGGTAACGGTTCTCAGCAAACTCGTGCTAGAAACAAAATGATATATAAGTCTTTGCTGTTACTCAATCGTCTAATAGTATGTTTAGGTATTATCATAGAGGTCTTATTTGGAATAGAATTGTAGTTGAAATTTTGGGGACAATTTAAATATCGATTGCAAACTGATCAAAGTTTTAATTTACTTATTTTAATTTAAAAATAAATTGTCAAATAATATCTCATCTCTCATACTATAGTAAGGATCAATTTCCTTTACAAATGTGTAAAATATAACATAAAGATATATGTTTTTCCTTAAATATTTGCCAGAGAAAACTCAATAATAAATACATGAGAAAATGCTATCAAAAGAAATCCGTGTTTCCCAGGTTTTTCCTTCGATACTAAAGTAAGATAATTTCGTGGGAAAACGACTTATAATAAAAAATATATATTGTTATAATTCGTCATTGTTTAAAAAATAGGCCGCAATTGTCAATCAATACAATCACGGCATATTCGAATAAGTCAGAGATAAACAACCTTTTTTATTATAAGTTTTTATTTTGAAAATATATATCTCATTTACAATCATGTTTTAAACACATTACTGCAATTGTATTACAATTTATCCTAACTTTAAAATATTGTTAACATTGTAAATCTTATATCTTTAAATGATCAATTCTTGTATATATATATTATAATATAATTGGAATCTCGGAATCGGCGACAACGATTTTCATAAAATTTAGTTATGTGTATGGGGGGTTTCGGGGGCGATAAATCGATCTAGCTAGGAATCATTTTTAGAAAATGTCGTTTTATTCGTGTTTTATCGATAATCAACTTAAACATAAACTTTTTCTATCGGTAAGATCGAAAAATATTATTCATATTTCATCATTTTATTAGTAAGTCCAACTTAAATATTATTTCCAAAAAACACAATTAAAAAAAATACCGAACAAAACTCGGTCATCCAAGTACTTATATATTAAACGATTTAAATCGATTTCTCTGACTTTTATTATTTACCTAGAACTATCTTACGTCTATGTTTAAATAAAAATAATCGATCACGCAAATATTTCTCGCTATCTAACTTCTCAAATGAATATTTCCAAAAAAAAATATAGCCGTACAATAATGGTATATTTATAAAAATGTTGAGAACCACTGGATTTAAGAATCATTAAAAACAATTGTCAAGTAACAAGTTAATTAACGTCTTTACTTAAACATTGATTAAAATTAAAACACGCCGGAGACATTTACAATTGTCTGAATTAATTTATTAATCATTTAATTAATCGATAAACAAAGATAATTTGAACTCACAGATAAAAAACATAATAAAACTTTTATTATCTTTGTCTTTGGGCATAAGTCAAACTGACAGCTCACTAGCGCCCTCTAGTTAAAGTCAAAAAGTGTCACAACATCTTTGTTGTACTGTTTTTGTCATTTTTTTTCTTTTATGCCATTTTCTATGCCCAAGTAGGTTTTATATATTTTCTTACCGGCTTGGCCTTTTGATAGGCCTTTAACCGACTCAAATATCTTTGTAAAACTACAATAAAGTACCTTTAGCCTCGCGAGTTGCGCTGCACTGAACGCCGTTCTAGGTCTCTTCTCTTCTGGATTCATCTTCTTTTTCATTCTTCTACTTCTTGGACCTGTAGACAAAGAAACAAAAATCTTTTATTTTGTTCATTAGAGTTACTAAAGATTTTTTATCAAGTAGGGTTGGCAATAGGTAGAAAAAATGTTGTGCAATGAACCTGGTCATATGAAGGTTTTTAACTTCCTAACCATAACTACAAGAATTGTCGAAATGCTGTCGGAATCGTGTTCTAGCTGTGGGTTTCTGATACAAACATCTCATCCCTGTCTTTATCTTCAACAAAACAGAGTCAACAATGTTAGAACAGAGATTTTGATATCAGAAACCCATAGTATTTTCTTAATGTATTAAAAAGTGTTTGAAGTAATCATTTTAAATTGAGTTATTATTTACGGTTGTTAACTATAAGTACAGTCGAGCACGTAAATGTATTATGAATTATAAAAAAAATATATCAAATCATGCTATTTTAATTCAAACTAAAATAATCAAAATTAATATACAATACTAGCGGACCCGACAGACGTTGTCTGACAAATTGACACTGCGATGGTAGCGCCGTCTGTCGGATCCAATGTAAAACATTCCAAAATCAACAACTACTAATAAATTAAAAAACAAATTAAAAAAAACATTGTCCAGCGGACAAAATTGTGAATCTAAACCATTCCCAGATCCCCTTGAACACACAAAAAATTTCATCAAAATCGGTCCAGTAGTTTGAGAGAAGTTCAGTGACATACACACTAGAAGAATTATATATATAAAGATTACGATACCAAAGTCCGGAAATAATGTACAAAAATTTATTTATATTTTTTTAACTCTAAATCTACACCAAAATCCAATCTACTCCCCTTTCTTATAAGGAAGAGATGGGAAGTAGAAGTGGACTTTCCGGATGAGAGGATGCATGGAAAGGGAAAATATTTTCTCTCTGTGCCTACTCTCCTCCGTCGATTAAAGGTAGGAAACGCATATGCAATTGCGTATGTCTATGGGCAACGGTCACTTCGCTACTTCAGCGATTTCAGGTGGTGGCTCGCTCGTTTGCCACCTTCTAATATAAAAAACATGCCATTTTAATTCAAACTAAAATAATCAAAATTGATATACAATAATACGATACCAAAGTCAGGAAATAATCTACAAAAATTTATTTATATTTTTTTAACTCTAAATCTACTCCAAAAGATCGGAGCGATAATTTATAATCTATGCAATGGGATCTATTTAAACTAGCGTATGAATAATCATAAATGTATATTTATAACGTAATAACGTCATTTATAATGTTTTATGATAAATTAATTTATTACAGTTGAATTTTACTGGACAATATTTATTGGTTGTACGCATGAAATTATTTATTGATAAAAATAACGCAAGGGTTTTTACAAACAGAACTAGAAAAGGAAAATACTTTCTAATCATACTATTAACATATCTTACTATTATCTTTATATATATAATTCTTCTGTGAGTGTGTATGTCACTGAACTTCTCTCAAACGACTGGACCGATTTTGATGAAATTTTTTGTGTGTGTTCAAGGGGATCTGGGAATTTAGATTCACAATTTTGTCCGCTGGACAATGTTTTTTTAATTAATTTTTAATTTATTAGTAGTTGTTGATTTTGGCATGTTTTACATTGGATCCGACAGACGGCGCTACCATCGCAGTGTCAAATTTTAAATAATATTCAAATTAAAGACGTGTAAACAGGACAACGTATGTCGGGTCCGCTAGTAACATTATAAATGCGAATGTTTAGATGGATGTTTGTTTGAAGATATCTCCGGAACGACTGAACTGATCTTGATGATATTTGGCATAGATGTAGAACATAGTCTGGAAGAAAACATAGCAGAGTCGCGGGCGACAGCTAGTTTTTAATAAATATGATATTTTGGGATTTCTAGATTTTATTTTTTATATCTTCTTAGTAAATCATGTCGTGTAAATTAAATCAAGATTTTTAATAATGTTTAAAGGGTGTTTTATAAGGGTGGGCTTCATACAATGAGGAGTACATAAACCATCACACCACTACGCATGCGGTGTGGGCACGCCCTAAAACCTAATTAAATCCAACCAACAGTATAATAGAGTAATATTTTCCGTGATCCTTGTCGTACGGCCGCCATTTTGCATGTCGTGTTTAAACGTAACATAAACATGGTAGTTCATGTTTAATTATTTAAATTGATTTAATTTAATTAAGTTATAAAAATCTTGTTATAATGGTTTGTTAAAATGTAATTATTTTGTTAATTTTCGAGGTTAGTTTTAATTAATGCTAAATTAATTAGTAATCACCTACTTATAAAAGAATGTGAGTTATCTGAATCGGCTTAATCGTTTTTTATCAAATTATATATGCATATTCAGTAGGTCTGATAATCTCCTACTCTATCTATTTAATCCCGTGTGATAGCGGTATATAGCTAGTATATATAACACACTTTTACTTTAAAATTTGTATTCAATAAAATTTCAAAGAGCAAAGACAATAAAAAAGACCAAAAGAAACTTGAACGTTTAACAAAAGTATTTTAACTCTGATTATTTAACAGTGGTAGAGCCCGCTTTAACATCTTCGCACGAATTGTCCCGGCTTGCCCGGTGAAATACCACGACCACACAGAAGACAGGCGTGAAGTGGAAGCAATTCCGCATTTCGTCTGATGAGTGTGTGTCCCGGAGGCCTAATTTAGTCCTCTTTCCCTTCCCACCTTTTATCTTATAAGGAAACGATGGGAAGGGAAAGTGGACTTTCCGGAAGAGAGGATGCGTGGAAAGGGAAAATATTTTTTCTCTTTGCATACTCTCCTCCGTCGATTAAAGGTAGGCAACGCATATGCAATTGCGTATGTCTATGGGCAACGGTCACTTCGCTATTTCAGCGATTTCAGGTGGCCACTCGCTCGTTTGCCATCTTATGAAAAAAAACATAACTATTTACTTATTACTATATAATAAATTCATATTGTTTGAAATTATCTTCTCAACAACGATCTACATTTTGCAATTGTTTCTAACATTTTAAATCACCCGTAATCACTTTATAGGGATCTAGACAGTTTAGCGTGCGACTGTACGCCGCAATAAATCCACACAACGCTAAATGCTATCAGCAGAGGAAAATAGCAACTATAAACACTTCTCTACCTTCCTGTACTACTGAATTTATTCATCGATGCATTATCGCAAAGGATTTCACACCTTACCACATTAGCATAAGACGCACATTTGATAAACGGCACGTACGCGACTTAATCCTTTATTCATGCCAATGATTTTTAAAAGAAACGCTTTGAACAATTTTAGAACCTACATATTTCAATTTACGGTATCAAATCGCTTGTGCATCGTTAAATGCAAGCATCACGTTATAACGAACATTGAGTTTTATCGCTTTAAGAATAGAACAGGAAATGGTGTAAACACAAATCTTTTAGATTTTGAAAAATGTTTGGCTATACGATACTTTATTGCGATGGAAAATAAACTCTGTTCGTATACAAGCAAGGTTTCTTTTCGTTTGACCTAAAACATATCGCTTCAAACGCTCGTTTATCACCCGATAAAACGGGCAGTAAGTTTTTTATTCGTGTTTTTAATTAAACAAAGTCCCTCGAAAACGTTTGCCAGAGAATTTTACGTAACGAGGCGTAATGTGTTAGGTTAGGCTGGCACTGGAAAATATCGCCGTGCACACATTCTTTTATGTGTTCTGAATTTTAATTAATGAGATGTAGCGACCAAGTATGCACTCATTAAGTGACCAAAACGAATTACCACACACCGATGATTTATTTTCACTATTAGAATATTAACTTCCTTATTTATAGTAGAAAATGAGCAAATAGCCACGTCGTATATCTAAAATAGTAAAGTGACAGATGCCCATAGACAACAGCAATATTTTTTTAACATGAAAACGAGGCAAAGATATATAAAATGTCCAAAAAATGTCTTTTCCTCAACATCATAAAAAAAGAAAATCCTTAATGGTTTGTTGGTAATTATGGTTTAATTACACTTAAATTAATATCAAGCTATTCTTCAATCAGCGTATTTTATCATCAAGTTTAAAAAACATGGCAAACAAAACAGTAGGAACAGAGACGTGAAGTACCAGGCGGACATAATTCGCGGCTAACAGCCCAACTTTGAGCTATTAACATTCCAGCGCAACCCTAGCGGACGTTATCCGGACAAATGAGGATGATAATTTATTCATAGCGAGCGTCGGGACATATTCATTACTTTTGTAATTGGCAGCGTTAAACGTAATGGCAGCCAGCGGGCCTGGTGTAAAGTGTGGTAACTGCCGAAACAACAATTATTGGTTTGCGCGGGAAAAATAGTTGAAGCGTAGAAATATCGGTTTTATTTACGTGCTGGTGTCTAAATTAATTTTAATTAAAAAAAATGTTTTATTAAGATTAATATCATGCAACACTGTGACATATAAGAAATTATAGTACTTATTTTTTATTTGATTTTTTCAAATGGATCCAAATACTTAGATCCACGTGACCCTAAGAGCACGTGAATTACTGCGTAAGGTTTGTTGGCCTGTTAATTAATTTATTACATGCTAACAAAGTTGCGAAGAAAGCCTACAGAGTGGTAATTACCTACTGCACTTCTAATATTCCATTACCGCCTGCTCTGTTGAATTTCCAATTACATTCTCTCTCATTAGGCTACTCGGTTACTACATATACTAAACGATTCGATTTTCACATTAGTTCTTTAACAATGAGTTCAAACAGCCGAAAGACTTAAAAACAAATTAATGTATTAAAAGAGAAAATAGGAGACTTTTATGGATTGTACTTTTTAAATATAATTAATTGTATACGACTAAATTTTCCTAAGAATTACTATTTTCCTTTGACATAATAATTACAGCACGCAGCGCGCACGCAAACACCTAAATGAAATCGTAGGATCGCGTGTTGGCTTATATTTTACTTATAAAAGATTTCTATCTCAAAATATTTAATAAAACTACTCATACTTCATATTTCCTTATACGA